CCCAACTTTAAAGGGACACTATAGTCACCTGAACAACTTCAGCTTAATGAGGTTGTTCATGTGAGAACTATAGCTCCCTGCAGCCTTTCTCATGTAAACACTGTATTTAAAAAAAAAAAAAAAGAAAATACTGTGTTTACATTGAAAGCTAGGAACATCTCCAGTTGCAGTCACTCAGAGTGAACCAGAGGAACGTCTGAGTTGACAGAGGCATAATATGCCTCCATCCACTCAGATCTGCTGTGGACGAGCATCCTGTGATTCAGTATCTCCTATCACTGCATGCAGACACTGAACTTTCCTCATAGAGATTCATTGATTGAATTCATCTCTATGAGGAGATGCTGATTGGCCAGGGCTGTGTTTGAATCATGCTGGATCTGCCCCTGATCTGCCCCCTTGTCAGTCTCAGCCAATCCTATGGGGAAGCACTGTGATTGGATCAGGCTATCACGTGTCAGCAGACTGCTTGTTTTTCCTGAGTCTAACAGCATGCAGAGTTACAGCTTCTGGCTTGAATACAGTAAGATGTTTACTATATTTATGGAGGCATGAGGGGCCCAGGGGGCTAGATGGTCGTGTTAACACTATAGGGTCAGTAATACATGTAGTTGCACCGGTGACTATAGTGTCCCTTTAAGTAAATAATAAATTTCGACCCTAAAGCATTTGGTATCAGCAGTTTAATTCTGTTTCTATGCACTTTATGTTCTTTGCCCTTTATTAATAGTGATTTTTTGTACAATCACTCAATGAATATTGCTCTTATAACCAGGGCCAGACTGGGGATACGAAGCAGCCCTGGAAAAAAATCTATGCCAGCCCAATAAGTCATTGTGCTATGTAGGGTGTTTTTATATATATATATATATATATATATATATAAAAATATATATAGGCAATTGAAATAGTTGGCTGCACTCTCGGATTTCCTGAAAATGTAACTTTTATTGAAATATTTAAGAGAAGATCAATGTTTCAGTCCCTCTTGTGGACTTTCGTCATGATCCTGATGCAAGTCCACAAGAGGGACTGAAACGTTGATCTTCTCTTAAATATTTCAATAAAAGTAAAATTTTAAGGAAATCCGAGAGTGCAGCCAACTATTTCAATTGCCTATATATATATACTGGATACTGGAGCCCAGTTGTGAAATGGAAATATTTTCTCTACCTGGAGATAATTGAAATTACTACAGCCACTTAACCCAATTATCTCCAGGATAGAGAGGAGGGATTTCACTGTTTATGTGGGAGTGTTTTATATTGTACTGAATGATGATTGGTTACTGTAACTTGTGTTTCAGTCCTCCACAAGGTCCCTGTGGGAGTATCCCTTGCTGTTGCCATCATTAAACAGATCGTTTTACCCCTTCATGAAGTCTTGGCTCATGTTTGGGGGATTGGGAGCTATAATTCACTACACCTTCTGCTACACTTGGATTTCAGGAGATGCTACACGGATTTACTCAGCTGGAGTATAAGGGATCCGTTACAAGCAGTATAGGTCTACATAAACTCAGAGGGAATGGGATCTTTAACTATTTTGTGTGCAGTTTGGTGTATCACTCTGTCCAGATAACAGGATTTATGAAACTATCCATAGATGTGTTTTTCTAATCTAAGACGAAGTCCTGGTCTCAGAAAAATTGTACCAGGCTCATTTAAAATTTAATCACTTGTTCAGATTACAAATTCTTTCACAGCAAACACATATTCCTAGTCCCAATGTAAAAAAAAAAAAAAAATTGGTCTCATTAAATTCATTAAAAACAAGCACACAAATCAAACATTCCTGTAATATTTGCATCAGACCCCATTCTCTAAAATGTGCACTGTAAGTCATAAATCTTAAGCTCTATAGATAATAAGAGACAGTGGAAAGCAGAAAGAATATACACTTTTAACGTAGAAGAACCATTCTCCACTGAATCCAGGGGACAAAGTGTACCAAACTTCTAAATCCCCTACCGACTAGCTAAACAGAAAATAAATCCATATATAGACTCACTGAGAGTCTCCTTGACTAACTGACCTAAACAGACATCACCCTAATGGTGACTCTCAAAAACAGACATCACCCTACTGGTGACTCTACTTAACAGACATCACCCTACTGGTGATTGACTCTAAATAAATGACATCACCCTGGTGACTCTCTCTCAGCCTAAGACAGGTTCAAAATAGAGAACTGCAATACCTTGGAGAGCAAGGACAGATAAAGACATAAAAAGTCAAGATCAATATACTCACCGGTAGATTTTGCAGTGGTCTATCGCGGACAAGCCCCCACTAGTTAGGCTGTAAATTAACACAGGGTCTGGAACCCTTACGCTGCCATGGACTTATGCACTAACACATTCTGCTTTCCTTGTCTCTAAGTAAATTCACTGTAGGGAACACTCAATGAGCACACCAGGCATTATGTAGATCAAAAAGTATTCAAGATTTTTAATGCGTATACATTGTATATATAAAACATAGTTTTCTTAGGGGTGTATACAACAAAAGGCAAAATCAACCAATCATAGAAGTTTCAGTGTGAAAGTTCAATTATTCATAGATCATTAGCTATTGCTGTCAGTTAGTCTACTGCGCATGTATAGCATGCCTTCTCTAAAATATGCAAGGTGATCTTGACCTATGGGAAAAATAAGTGAGTCGGTGTGCCACTGCAACAGATTGCAGACAGTCAGTTAGGAAAGAAATTCTTACTTTTAACCCCTGCAGACGTAGAAAGACTTAACTAGGGCAGAGGCTTTTAACCCTTTCTTTATCTGTATCTATGATAAGTCCCCTCTTTTGGCACTGCTGGTGAAAGTTTTAGGCAAGGTAAATCGATGTATACTAATTATACCTGTGGGACTTTAATTATTATCTTCACCTCTATTCTCTTGCCATCTTCCATCAACAGAATCATCAAAGAAGGCCTGTCCAGAAACTGTAGATACAGGATAACATATGTTATTAAATCCACGTCTCATTATGCAATACATCTATAGGTTAATATATATATATATAGAGAGAGAGAGAGAGAGAGAGAGAGCTCTGTGTGTCTAGGAGAATATTCACTAAGCATTGCATAGGTAAAACAATTAATTTCCCATCATCAGAATTAAGTTTCCTTTTGGGGCTGAAACCCTTAACGAACGGTTTAACCCCAAAGTGTTAATTCATGCCTCGGACAAAATTGCAAGAAGAGAGGCAGAACTAAGCAGCCCTGGTTTCAATAATTTGTGTTAGCCTAGCCATTAACAGTTTAACCTCTTCATTATAATGAAGTTGTTATGGTGCCCAAATTGATGAATCCAGCTTCTGATTCAAGCCTCGGAGAAAAGTAGAAGAAGAAGGACAGAACTAACAGGTGCTGGATTCAATACTTTGGGCTAGACCAGTCATTAATGGTTTACCCTCTTCATTCCAATTAAGTTGTTATGGTGCCTAGAGATAACCTTTTACCCCGCACTTACCTTATTAGGGCACTGCTCTGTTCAGGATGTGGTCTTCTCTTGGGCTTTAGATTCCCAGTCTTGGTTGAAGTGGTAGGCTCTCTTGTCTTGTCTGTAGATCTATTTTTCTTGGTATCTTTTACTTTTTGGAGTTGCATTATAATTTCTGTTTACTCTGTTGAAGTAGCACACAGTCTTGTCCTCTTTTTGCATTTTACAAAATCTCTCCTGGCCATGACCTGATTTTATATATTTTTTTTTGTCATTAGCAATAAAAATATAAATAAATTAAATAATGCATAATTACTATCGACAATTTGTTACATTCAGTTTTTAGATTAGCTCAATTTGTCTCTGTTCATTTTAATTACACTCACATATTATTGTTTATTTTTTTGGAAGGGGGACAACGTTTTTTTTTTTTAAATGCGCTTTCTGGGTTGTTTTATAATTACATCTTCTCCGGGAGATTGTGTATCGCTGTGAGTATCGGATAACGCTTTCTGTTGGATTGGCATGGCTATGATACATTGTATTGTGTGAAATAGAAGCTGTTTTACGCCTCCCGTTATTATTTTGAAATGGTTGAATGAGCAAGTGAAGAGTGATTACATATGTTCAAGCCCATTACAGCATATTTTATATCATGTGAGTGAACAAAGAAAATGTCAGGGAGATAAAGGTTCCAGATGTAAAATTCTTTATTTTTTATTAGGCAGCACAGAGCAAAACCACGCTGGAACACTTAGGAATAAGGATAATGCATTTTTATTTTATTTTATTATACAGAATATGGTTGTAAAGGTTAGAAGAAGACACTGGCTTATTTGAATTAAAGGGACTTGAACTGTCATCAGGACCATGGATGGGATTTTATACTTTGGGTGTACAATGAAAGCTTTCTAACATGACGCTATTTCAAATTGGGTGCACAAATCTAAAGGATCTGCAAAATAATTTGTTGGGGTAAAAGAAGAAAATTCCAACGCTGCCATACCACCTGCATTTACAAAAAAAACTAAAATTTTTCCATCCTTCCATTCATTGTATGTGGACCATTTTGCAGAAGACATTATATATGATGTTGTTGCTTCCTTGGACACCAGGTTACATAACGGTGAGGAAGTTGTAAGCCACCCAGTTGTACTACAATTGAAAAAAAAATGAAGATGAAACAAGGGTCGTGTAAAGTTAAGCTATTCGGAGTAATAGAGCAGGGTCAATGCATGGAATTATCATGGCGCAGTGAGACAGGTAGAGACAGGCAGATAATGAAATGTGACATTAGGCAAATGTCTTGTGAATGAGGTGTGGCATGGGATGAGCCATCGGGTGTGAAATGTTATGACATGCGATATGACTCAATGTGTTATGTCCTATGTGGGGTGAAATTTGGAATAGAGAATATGTCAGTGGGAACAATATTTGATTAAATGGCATCCAATAGGTGAAGACACAAAGTTGACAAGGATATCTTCAGAAAAGAAAATGGAGGTCATGCTGTTGCTTCCTTGGACACCAGGTTACACAACGGTGAGGAAGTTGTAAGTCACCCTGTTGTACTACAATTGAAAAAAGAAATGAAGATGAAGCAAGGGTCTTGTAAAGTTAAGCTATTCGGAGTAATAGAGCAGGGTCAATGCATGGAATTATTATGGTGCAGTGAGACAGGTAGAGACAGGAAGATAATGAAATGTGGCATTAGGCAAGTGTCTTGGGGATGAGATGTGGCATGGGATGAGCGATATGACTCAATGTGTTATGTCCTAAGTGAGGTGAAATTTGGAATAGAGAATATGTTAATGGGAACAATATTTGAGTAAATGGCACCGATAGGTAAAGACACAAAGTTGACAAGGATATCAACAGAGAAGAAAATGGAGGTGATTTATGACCATAAAAATAACTAGGAATGAAGGTTTTAAAACACATATCATTCAAACCGTTACTATTGATGTGAAAGAACAACCATTACTTAAAGGGACACTACCATGCCACAATAAAATAAATAAAAATAACTGTTTAATAAATATAATACCAATAAAAACATGCATGCATGTAATCATGCATTTTTTTCATTGAAGGTATATCTAAAAACAGTTTGTAAAAGCTGCAGATCTCTTGTCTGGAGCCTTTGTAAGTCACCCCCTTCTAACCCTACCCAGACTTTCTGTGGTTGTCCAATAACAGATGTCTTAATGCAGGCCATGGAGAAGTCTTTGCAAGGCAGGAGCTCTGAGCAATTGCCTGCCTCTTGTTTAGCTCTACGAATATAAACAACCAGGAATGGTTATCTGATTGACAGGCAGTGTGTGACTTGGCTAATTTATGAAAGTGCTTGTATTTCATGAATGGGAAAAAGTAGAATAGTTCATAATGGAGGGTTACTTTTTTTGAAAAAGGGAACAAACTGGTTCACTTAAGTGTGGGGAGGAAAAGCCATTAAAAGATTAATTGAATGCTTTCTTAATGAAGTGAGTTTTCAATGTTTTTTTGAAGGAACTGAGACTTGGTGAGAGTCTAGTAGAGCAGGGAAGGGAATTCAATAGAGTCTTGAAGGTGGGTGTCAGAGGTGCGAGTACAAACAGAAGATAGACGCAGAACTTCAGCAACAGTATAAGGACCTGGATGGGACATACTTGTGTATTAGTGGGGAAAGGAAGGTCGGAGCAGCGTTATGTAGAGATTTGTAAGCAAGCAACAGAATTTTAAATTGAGTCCTAAATCTTAAGGGAAGCCAGTATAATGAGTGACAGAGGGGAGAGACGTGGGAGGTGCAGGCAGACAGGAAGATGAGCCTTGCTTATAGACTGTAATGTAGAAATCTGGAAATGCGTAAGACCACTGAAAAGCAGATTACAGGAGACAAGGTGAGAGATGATAGCAGCATGGACCAGCACGTTAGCCATATCTGGTGTTAGATAGGGGAACATGTTAGCTATGTTTTTGAGCTGGAAGAGGTAGGATTTGGCGAGTGACTGGATATGAGGGGTGAAGGAGAGGTTGGAGTTAAAGAGAACACCTAGGCAGGTGAGGTAGAACTGATAGTAGTGTCATTGACTTGTAGGGAGGGTGACACATGATTATCAACACTTGAGGGAGGAAAGACAAGACTGTTTTGGACAGGTTGAGTTTAAGGAAATAAGCACCTATCCAGTTAGAAATAGCAGAGAGGCAGTAAGAGACATGAATCAAGAGGGACGGTGAGAGATCAGGAGAGGACAGATAGGTATGCATGTCATCCACACAAATGTGATATTGGAAAATAGCCGATGAGTTTACCAATTGAAGCAGAATAGATAGAGAACAGTAAGGGACCAAGGATAGAACCTTGTGGAACACAAACAAAAAGGGATTGCAGACAAGAGGAAGAGCCAGAAAAGAAACACCGAGAGATAGGAGGAGAACCAGGGAAGAGTAGAGTCTTGTAAACCGAGCTTACGGAAGATATGAAGAAGTTGTTGATGATCAACAGTGTTGAAAGCAGCAGAAAGACCTAGAGGAATGAGACGAGAGTAGCAATCATTGAATTTAACAGCAAATAAATCATTGGATACTTTGGTCAGGGTCATTTCGACAGACCGAAGAGCACAGAATCAAGACTTTGCCTTAGAACCACTACATTAAGCTGTAATGGTTCTGTTGCCTAGAGTGTCTCTTTTATTATTAGATTTTCAAGACTAATAATTTTTGCATGTAGAATGAGAGTTCTTTGATTTTCATGAATGTCATGAAACAAGCACAGTACAATAACCAGGCCTTCCTGTGAGTGCTAACTGTCTGAAGGCTGTTTAGTGCCCAGAATAAACAGCTGATGGCTGAGTGAATATCTGGAAATATGAATTCTCAGACTGTTACCATAAAGAAGAGTGAGGGACTTGTGTGGACCCTAACAACCAGTTAAGATTAGCACAGTGCCACCTGCTGACAGCTGGCTTTGTTTACAGGAAGCACTCATCCATAAATATATGTATTTATCCTACAACCAAGTCTAACTACAACTCATGCAAACCCGCAATGCTACATTAACTCTGTGTACTGCCATTTTTAGAATGGGACACTGAAAGCATTTGTGGTTTCAAAAATCACATACAGATTTTATTTATGAATGGAAGTTATGCAAGAATTCATGCAAATGTCAAATTTGTTGGAAGCAAAATAAAACAGCAACAGCAGCACAAATAGGGACCCAGACAGACCTCATTTATTCTGTGCCTCGTACAGTTTAGACAGGTGAGGTATTTCAGAAGACTAAAATGGAAAAGGTTTTTTTTTTTAATATGTGTTAAAGCTGTTTGGACTGTGCAGCAGAACAAATATATATTTATACACCTTACACATAATTCCATATAAGGTATAGGAATTTGGATTTTTAGCAAACACAGAACTGAATCCAAGTTGACCGTTAATTTGTCCATTCTAACGCATATTTGGAGATGTTCCCTTGTCTGTTTTTCTCGCCTGTTTTTTGTTTGCAGGCTGACAGCTAAGGGTAGCGTGAGCTTGTGGTTTGCAACAAGCTTTATTAATATACTCTTTGAACAAAACATTAGAAAAAAGGAGGGAGACTAACCTAAATTGACACCATCATTTTGGCATAATGACAAAGGAGACATTGCATTTGGTCATACTTATATTACACAAAATATTATGTTGCACAACCCACAGCAAGGTTACGTCATAAACATCCTTTATATATTGAGCAACCAGGAAGGAGGATAAAAAAGCAAAATTAGCAGGAGTGCTGGTTAATCCTAAATTAGGAGGTTGTTAAAGGGATACTATAGTCACCAAATTCACTGCTATTTAGGAGTAAAATCACTTTTGTTTCTATGTATGCAGCCCTAGCCACAACTCCTTTGACTGTGACTCATATAGCCTGAATGAGAACAAAACTGTTTCATTTTCAATCAGATGTAACTTTAAAAGTTTGTAAATCCCGCTCTGTGAATTCAACTTTAAATACATACAGGAGGAGATAAGAAATTCTAAAGTAAACAGAATTTGCAATAAAGGAAGTGTAAACATTAGATGACTCTTCACAGGAAGTCACATGCAGGGAGGTGTGACTAGGATTGTATGAACAATGTGATGGAACTACTAAATAGCAGATAACTGAACAGTGGGTCTGCAGGGACATGATCTATACACCAAACTGGTTAATTAAGCTAAAGTTGTTTTGGCGCCTACAACGTCCTTTTAAGCTTTCACCACATATCAATTGATCCAAAGAGGGGTTGGAATCTCTGACAGGAAGGGCATTGATTTACAGACTTGAGGGATGATGGAGTCATGGATCACTTCAACCAGGAATCATAAACTGGTTGCAAAAATTGTTATTCTCCATGAACGTCCAAGTGGTGTGTCATGTCCATCAGTGCACCATAAGTATAAACCTACAGAATATTTATTGTCTTCCACCTCTCCATGTTCAGAAAGATCAGCAAAGCATGGGAAGATCCCAGCATCTTGCAGTTTTGTACTACCCAATGTCTAGTGTATGGAGTTGGAACTATAAAATGAATGGGTTTTGAGTAGCATTTTATGAACTCTCTCACAGAAAGCCATGAGACTGTCAAAATAGCATCACCATGATTTTATTCGCAGTGAACATTTCACATACAATTGTACTACTGCAGAAAAAAAAAAAATCTTACAGGTTTTTGGGAAGTACTGAGGAGGCGTGTGGATGTCAGATTCTTTCATTTAAAACAGAACTGTTACCCCTCTGGAATTAAATATGAATGAAACATTGAAAATCATCTATAACATGTGCTAGCCATTTTTTAATGAGATGCTGTGTTTTTTTTCTTTAGATTAATATGAAAGATTTAGCAAATGACATCATAATCCAGTTCAGACAAGACAAAATAATGGGAAATCATTGTAAATAAAGGAGAAAAATAAACATTTTAACTCTTCTCTGTATGATCTCGTTACTGACTGCAAAGGACAGAACTTAAAACAAAGACTGACACAGAGCGAAGACGGGGGCACAGATTTCTCCATTTAATTTTTCATACCACGCAAATACATATTTGTTAAGTATAAGGATAAGCAAGTACAATACCACAAAATCCAGGGAATAAATAGTTCCCCTTAAAAAAAATTACAAAAAATGTTATGTGGGACAGTAACTTACCCCAAACAGGGATAAAGAAAACGTTTCCTGCGCTTAGGCCAGAGCGCAGGTAACGTTCTCTTTGTTTTTACTATGTATTTTAAGCTGTTGGATACTAAGCTACTGTTGCTGTAAGCCCGGTGCTTTATCTTTGTGATTGTACCCAATCAGGGATAGGCTGACAGCAATGATGAGCCTCTTGTTGCATGTTTAAGCCCTTAAGGACACATGACGGAAATATTCCCTTTTATTTCTGAAGTTGTGTCCTTAAGAGGTTAACCTCACTATGCTGTTCCATTTATTTACATTAGCACGCCTCTCCAATCATACATGCTATTTACTAAGCCACTACTTACGTAGGACCTCTCTACAAAGTTTCTAGAGCTGTGGGGTATACCCTGCTGTTTTCCTAATCCATCCATTTCTAGACATATTTGCTAATTTTCTTTATTTTGGTGAGCAATCCTACCTTGGTATGTTTATGTCGCCTGTACTCATAAAAATAAGGCTGTACTTCTTTATTGCTATATCTACCTTTGTCATTTGACATGTCTTATGCAAATGCTATTGTCTTGTATTATGTTATTAACGTTATAAAAAAATAAAAAAATCGGATTGACAAAAATAAAAATGCGTTAACAATAACCTACAAATTGCTCATTTTCTTTTATT